AAAAAAGTGAGAACTCCATTTCCGACTACAGTCAGCAGCAGCATCATCATCAGCGACAGTGGCCTGCACCTCATCACTATAAATAATCCTACATCTTCACCTTCGTTGGCGTCCATGTAGCCGTACAGCGTACAGCAGTGACAGAGTGGGACAGTGTGGCTTGTGTGTGACTGTCGTCCCCCTCGCCTTCCTCCTCATGGCAATGAAACACCTCACATACTCACTACCAAAATAGGGAAGACCAGCAAGTGTACACACATATGTTGCCTGTCTCTAAACACACTTGCGTCCTATCCTCAGTGCAGTTGCTGGTGGTGGTAATCTAATAAGCGAAAGGTGCACCACCAGACAGTAGCTTGCTGGCCAGTTTACAAGTGAAATAGTGTGATTGCACTGGCAGTTTCTGAGTTTCAGCTGAATTGTGCTTCTGCTGGTGCTGTAGCCACTAAAGCGATTCAATTGTCGATTGCCATCGAACTGTGAGGTGCCTGCTCATTCCTCAGTCTCTTCGACCACTTCCGAACTCTGCTGGTGATCAGTGCTGTTGCTCAGGCAAAGTTCAAGTGCTTGTGACTGCTTCTTTTTTGTTCAACTTCATCTTCATCAAGCATCAAGTATCTTCAACTTCAACTTCAGGAAACTGTTTCAGTGTAAAGATGGCGGCTACAAAGAAGCTGCGCTACTTCAAGATCGTCATGGATGATGAAAGTCTGCTCTACTTCCCGGGCGCCTTTCTCACCGGCAAGGTCGTCCTTGAGCTAGACGAAGATACCCCAATTCTGGGCCTCTTTTTTCACATTAAAGGCGAAGGGGTCGTCCGGTTGGTGGGCAGCGGCGGCATCGTCACCTCAGACAAGGAAAACTACATAGACTTTCGCATGCGTCTCCTGGGCGATAATCTCACAAGAATAGGTGAGCGAAAACTAGGATTTAGTGAAATTCAATTGCCTCAATCCGAATCAATTCCCCTTCTTAGACACCCAAAGCACACTGAATTTAAATGCGTCCATGAGTCGACTGTTGATGCTCTCTGCAGGCGTCCATACGGTTAGTAGTGGTGTTTTAGTTTTGGCGTTCAACAATAGATATACTTACTCTGCCATCAGTTCCCCTTCCGCCTTGGCCTCCCACTAGGTCTACCCTCCACCTTCCTCGGCAACCACGGCTGGGTACAGTACTACACTCGAAGTGAACTGCGAGAGCCGTCCGGTTTGGTGCACAAAAATCAACAGGTCTTCATCGTCATGAATCCAATTGACCTCAACCTGGAGCCCATTCTTCTCAGTGTAAGCCATTTGTGTGGAGCACACAAGCAACAAACTTAGCATCAATCAAATTCTTTTTTTATATCACTGCACAGCAACCCTTTACGAGTGAAACAGAAGAGAAGCTCGGTCTGCTCTGTTTCAGCAGCGGCAAAATCGTCGCCAGAGTACGCCTTGACCGAGGCGGCTACGTTCCAGGTGAAAGCATCTCCATTACGGCGCACATCTACAACAACAGCTCAACGACCATCAAGAAGACGTGTGCCTTGCTAACGGAGGTAATTTTAGTTTACTCCTTTCAAGGAATTTATTTGGAGTAAAAGTTCTCTTTGTATTGGTAGACGGTACAGTACACCTCAAAGAATCGCATCGTGCAGAGTGAAATGCGCGAGCTGGCGTCACTGGAGAAAGGCAAAATCGAGCCAAACAGCGACTTTCAGTGGCGCAATGAGCTGCTCTACATTCCGCCCATTCCTCCGACTAACCTTCGTGGCTGCAGTCTCATTCGCATTCAGTATGATGTCTATGTAAGAATTAATGATAAACAGTTTGATTGTGTGATTCATCATCTTCAATATAATCTCCCCTTGCCTTCAGTTTCTGGTCATTCCAAAGGGCGCTCACAAGACAATAAAACTGCAGTTGCCCATCATGATTGCCACCTATCCACTGCGCAACACCGATGGAACACTGCAACGACGAAAGGGTACCTACTACCCGTCAACACTGCCCATGATGAGACCCTGGATGAGCAATCACGAGGGAAAAGTCAAATCAAAGTAAGTTTGGAGGATAACAGAATGTGTTTGCTGTTCACTGTTGTTATGCATACAAAGAATTAACTTATCAATTTGCTTTCTTTCATTTCCTTACAGCATCAGTAAAGTTTGATTAGGATATTCCACTAAAAATGATTTCACACGAATTCCACTACTACTTTTGTACAAATCGCCTGTAATATTGTAATACAAATAAAAAGTTTCATTTTGTGAATCACTGATTGCTCTTGTGACTAATCGAAGGTTTTTGAGTAAATTAATCTTTTACTGGAGCAGTTTTATGGTATAAAAATCAAGTTTAAAAATATTTAAATTTGTAGAATCAATGTTAATCTTTGTGAGCCTATCACAAACTAAAATGATAAATATAAAACCAAACGGAAGCTTATCATGATTTGTGAGAGCAAATGGATAAAAACAACATGCTTCCGCCCTTAATTCTTATTCCCCGCTGGCAGGTCGTCAAACTCCTCATCGAGGGTATCATCAAACAGATTCGCCCCTTCATCAATTGAGTTGATGGTAGTATTGCAGAGGGAGACATCATTGCCCTCTTCCTGTGTCGCCTGTTCTCCCTCCTGTTGTTGTTGCTGCTGCGATGGCATCTGTGGTGCAAAACGAAGCTGCCTCGCCACCTTAAAGTACTCATTCGGGTGGTAGATTGAGTCGATTGGCTTGCCGCCGGGCACCTCTCCGTGCTTGCTGGTGAAGTACTTTGAACAGGCGCCGCCCATGTCGTTTTCCTCCTTCGCCAGGCGCACAATCTCCTCGAGTGTGGCCGCATCGTTGACGCCGTAGCGCAGCAACATCGACTTCAGGTGCTTCTCATCAAAGTGCTTAAAGGGACAGCCGTGCGTGTCCGTCGGTCCCGGGGCGCAGCCGGTGATGATCTTATTACAGCTGTAGGCGCTCAGGTTGACCCGCTTGCCCTCCTTTCCGTAGATGTAGCGCAGCGTGTACGTGTACTCCTTCTGGAACTTCTGCGGATTGATGGTGGACAGCTCAGAGCCGAAGAACTCAATGGAGTTCTCCAGAGAGAGGCCGGCCGACTTGAGGAAGAGGCCGTAGTGCAGACGGCCGTAGTGCTTCAGGTGATGGTCACGACGCAGTGACTCATGAATGGAGCGCATACAGGGCGGAAAGAACTCCTCCGCTAGGGCGTCAATCTGATCGGGCTGAATGCTGTAGCGGCTCTGCGGAGCATCACCCGCCGATTGCTCGCTCTTCATTTCGGTGATGTAGCTGCGATGTAGTGCGTCGAGTCGCTGGATCAGCCGCTCCTCGTCTAGAAACTCAAAGTCAGTGTGCATTCGCGCCAGATCGCGAGAGAGATTGGCACGAAACTGGGCGCACAGCACCGAGACCATCTCCGGGGCAGGAATGTAGGCGTAACCGCCCTCGAGGTACACTCGCCGAGATCGAATCAGCTCGAGCGCGTCAAGAAAGTGCATCTTGAAGACAATCCGGGTAAGGTGGTTGTTGTGAAACTCCATCCAGCTCACACGATCGTGCATCTCTTGCTGTACGCAGTCGACAATGTCGTAGTCGTAGCCGTAGTACTTCAGGCACTCCTGCAGCTCACAGCTGGTGGTCGAAGCATTGGTCATGGAGGACTCCGTCAGGCGGTAGCGAAAGAGCTCGGTTTCGCGGTTGACGTACCACTTTCGTAGCTCGGCCGACTGGCAGTAGTAGATGCGAAGGAGGTAGTGCGAAATGTGGTCACGCTTTCGAGCTTCGTACATCTTACAGGGATCCGTCTCGGTTTCAAATTGGCTCAGGAAAAAGAAGTGCTTCTCCGAGCTGTTGCTCGACTTCTTAACACTTTCCAGCTTGCCCTTTAGAATACTGTAAAAGTTCTTGTTGCGTTTTACTGCCGTATCAGCGCTGAGCATTTTGTTGATCTCCTGCAGTAGCATCAGTCGATCAGCCACCATCTCCTCAATCTCCTGCAGGGTGATCTTGAAATCAGGAGCCGAGGTGTAGAAGTTGATCCAGTACGGGTAAGCCGCCCTCATCAGCTCGGTTGCTTTGCCTCCTCCACCTACTCGCATACGCTTTCGTGCCGGGTCGATCTGCATCTTTAAGCGGTGAAGAGTGGTGGTAAAAACTGGTAGAAGGTAACCGGAAAGATGGGTACAAGAATGGCAAGAGAACGCCAAAAACTTGGATGTTGTTGTTTAAAATGAAAAGCAGTATCAGCGGCGGCTGCGGCAGAAGCAAAACAAAGCGCGCACGAGATTTTTAGCGCCAAAGCAAAACAGCGCCAACAAACTGCTCACAGCGTCAGCTGCCGGCAATCTTTCGGCAATGAGTATTTTAAAAACTTTTCAAACAGTAAAAAATCTGTTTTAATGATAAGAATCCTCTGGAAGGAGGTGATGCAATTAAAAGACTCATTAAATATCCAACATAATTAAAAGTAAAACAACAGTTGTTTTGTGATCGGCAAATTCACTTAGGACTTCTTTTCCGGCTTTACATGGCAAAGCTCAACGTCGATGCCGAATTTTGTCAGGTAGGAGAGCCAGATGGATTGTGTTGGAGAAAGATGGTCAGTGTGGCTTTTCACCTCAATCAATTTGATCTTCTTCTTTTCAGTGTTCCAGACAATCAGATCAGGAAAACCCTTGTGAAAGCTCTTGTAGTCGTGCAATAAAAAGTGGCAAATAAGGGCAATCTTGTCAGCGCCCAAACAAATGGCGATTTCCTGGCAAAAAGAAAAAATTGTCAGCCTCATGAAAAAAAGTTCTCAATTCCCACTTACAATAAGCTCCTCCAGCGGTCTTTGCTCCCAGTCAATCATAAATGATGCCTTGCCCTGATGATTGTACCAGGCAAAGGTCATCTCTGTCACCATGTCCTCTTCATTCAGATTGGTAATGTGCAACAGCTGTGCATCAATGACCGCCTTTCGCCGTTCGTAGAATGATTCGTAATTTAGGTCCAAGGGCATTATCTGCTTGTGGTAACGAAATGCATCACTAAAACTATCATCTTCCACTGAGTAGATGATGTCCCAGAAGAAGAGAGCCATCAGATTGTGGTATAGACTTGACTCGCAGTGAATGCCCTTGGTGAAGCCATTGTTCAGGTAGTGATTGATGACAATGTTCTCCACTGACATGATGCTCACTTCGCCATTCGCCAATGTCACCGAATGAAAGTTCTTATTCGCACTGTCATTGGTGATGGTTCGATACTCCGAGGTGATGTCCTTCTCCTTAAAGTGAAGACAAAAGTAGTCGGGGCACACATTTTCAAACTGCTCCTTCAAGTCATCTTCGATTTTGACGACCTTCAGCAGTCGATTGAACAACTCCAGGCGGTTGCCGCCACGAACGAAGGAGTCTTCGAGTCCGAGCTGACAGACGGCAATTGCCTGATCATTGTCTCTTAGGTGAGAGTTGCAAATCAGGGCCGTTCGTATGCACCATCGAGCGCGGTAGTTGTGCCCATAGACTGTCTGAGCGAGTAACTGGTTCACCACAATGTCCACGTATGCTCTGTACCGACGGAGGCGTTCCAGTGAAGTTAAGCATTCGTTTATAGCTCGCAGGTACATCCCAGTGGCAGTGTACTTGCAGAGAAAAACTTCAAGTTGAGAGTCTTTTTGGTGCCACTTGTCATAACACTGAAATATTAAACTTCTGAATCAACAACACTGAATGTGGTGATAGGGTAGTGCAAACCTGAGCAAAAGACGCTGTTGCACGAGGTAAGAGTTCGTCGGCAATTTGTGCGAATTGTTTCAAATTAAATTGTGAAAGAATTTGAGAGTTCAAATCAAAAGCTTTTGAAAACTCGAGAAATTCTTCTCGTGAGCTGTAGATGATTTGCCTCTTGTTTGTCGTCGCGACTGGATAGCTGTTGCTAGGAACGCTGTAATCACCAAAGATCCTATAACAGAATACAATGATTAGAATTAGAAAATACTAAACTAAACAGGAAAAATACCACTGAAAATCATTTTGCTTGCCGATTCGCTCGAGCAAGTATCCCGGATGATAGTAGAGAATGAAAATACGGTCAAACACTTGAGATTTTTCCTGATTCAACATAAAGCACTTGTTCAGAAAATTCTTTTTGAGTCTGAAAAGATTAAAAATTGTTTAAAAATACTTTCAAAATATAAATTTTCTTGCCTTTCAAGTACGGTATGTTCCAATGTTTTAGTGGGATCATTACTCAAAACGCGACTCGTTTTAATGTAGTTGAGAAAAAGTGGGATCACTTTAGCTTTACCGCCAGAAGAATTAAATCCTTTATAAGCATTAAGAAACTTTTTCAGATCAGGCATTGTCAGTAGATTCAGAGACTCTTCAATTGAAGTAAAGCTGGAAGCTGAAAATGCCAAAAGATTAGCAAGTCAAGAAAGTTCAAAACACAAACAAAAATTACAGTTTAGTAGAAAACCATGATCTGCAAGCACGATGAGATCATTTTTGTGTTCCCCCAAAGGATCAATCTCCAGATAGCGGATATTTCTCAGATGTATCCAAGCCCGCTTTCGCGCGTACAATTTGATGAAGAGGTGTTGCACTTGTCCTGTTAATATTCAAAAATAAATCACCAAGATCAACCACCACTATCACTTTTGACAGAGTACCTGGTAAACATGTAAATTCTTGAATGACATTCCAGTCAGTTTCGTCAAAAATATTAGCAAAATGATCATCCGAAACAATAGAACGAATAATGTTGCGGAATGTGAAGAAGACAAAGTTGGAATTGCCTGAAGGGTTGCTGTTGTTGTTGCCATCCATATTCTCCTTGTCGTCCTCCAACTCGCGATCTTCCTCCTCCACGGCGACATCAAAGCACACGTCGAGTAGTCCATCATTGATTAAATTTGCATCAATAGCAGTCGGTTCATTACTTTCTATTGGAAAAGTCTCAGTTGGAGCTGCCGAAGTTTCCTCCTCTTCCACCTCAAGAGCTCTCTTGTTATTGTTGTTTATCTTGGCTTGGTCAGTCTTTGCTTTGGCAGCACCATTCGCCACAGCGGCTGTGGATGTTGAGGATGTTGGCTCATTCTTACGCTTAAAAAAGCTCAAGATACTCGTTTGCTTTGGTCCAGGTTTGGCAGACATAGTGACGGACATAAGATGATGCAATCATAAACAAAACATTTAGGCAGTTTGGCGTTGCGTGAGAGAAACAAACAAAACAAGCGCGCGCTGCGCGAAAAACCGCTTTCACGCGTCTCGAGCGCATGCAGTGGAAACAGATTATTTCTGCCGCCAAAATCGATTCGCTTAATTTCAACTCAATTCGCATAACCGATTCCGAATCCATTTTCAAACACTTTTTAGCCTTACATTAAATGAATTAAGTTTGAGTATTTAAGTATCTAGTTGCTCAAAATGGGAAAATCCACCAAATGCAACAGTTTCGCCATCGAAATACCGATGTCTTGTGACTTGCGCCAGATCCCGAAGAAGGGATCACCTTTTTACTGCTTTTGAAGGCTGTGTAAAGATGTAAAGAGATGTGCTGAATAATGGGCCATTAAGCATTAGTCAAAAAGTGTGTGACACTGACTATGTGACAGCACATCATCGTTATCGTCTCCAGCATATGGAGCCGAGCCAGCACCTCGTCGATCCTCTGCAGCAGCGTTGACTGATCGAAGCTGTCACCCTTGACGCCCACCGCTTTAATATTTTATTACTTTATCCACTTCTTTCTCAACAGCTGACGGGAAAACAAGAATGCACACCATTTGGTTGGTTGGTTGGTTGTTGTCATCGTAGTATGGTACATCATCACCCCCATCACACTACACAATATCAACCGAAAATCTCAGCGTTCTGCTGCACTTGCTCCTTGGTCGGCTTTTGCGGCAATTATTGTGCGCACCACAAAGATGAGAATTTCGCACCAAAAATATGAATGCAGCAGAGGCGGCAGCAGCCACGACAGATTCAACTGCAAACCGTACCGTAAATTCTGCCGGGCTTTGGCTTTACAGCAGGCAGGAGACTGGCAGATGCCAAGAATTGGTCTCGCTGGCATGGCCACTGCGTGATGTCTGCAGCAGCTGCAGCAGCAGCAACCGAGGCCACCTATTCTACTATTGACCTTCAAATGTATCTAAAAACTTGAACGTGAAATGAGCTGACGAGCACACTTACGAGCAAAAAGAGGCTCCCTCTCTTTTCCTCACTGACACCTGGTCAACAGTTTTTGAAATGTTTAGAAAGTTGTGAACTTGCACCGAGATCCGAGTGCCGAATCATCACCGTTACCACCACCACCACCTGATTACCAGTCAACAGTGCTATACTCATTCTAACTGAATGACTGCCTGTGAGTGTATGTTTGTATCTGGTTGCCTTCATGCAAAGGAGAAGCGCCCATCTTTTCTCCACCTTCCTCCTCCTCTTCTTCATCTTCATCTTCTTCAGCGAATATATATAAAGCACCTCTATTTTTAGGCCTCGTCAAATCCCCACTGGTAGCCTTCAGTACCTCGATTTGTTGTGCTTTTGATTTTTCTGCCTGAACACCGTGCTCAACACCCAAACGAGCATCTTACACTGCCACACCAACGGTGAAGAAGAAGAAAAAGAAAAAAGGAAAAAGGAGAAGCCACGCTTAGCCAACTAGCACAGAACGAGCCAACGAGCCAGCCAGCCAGCCATCCACCGGCAAGACGAATGATATTTTCGTTGCTGATTTTCGCCCAGAATAATTCTCGCCTTCTTTCTTTCTTCATCCATCCATCTAAGATTCTAATTTCCTTGCCTGCTTTAAGCCGCTGCTCGCTTCAGTGGAAGGCATCTGCATCAACAGACAGCTGCTGCTGCTGCTCCTGATGTACGACACTCTTGCCACCCACAAGAACTGAGAAGAAAGAAAGAGAGAGAGAGGAATCATTTCTCACGCACTCAGTCATTCTTCTCCGATTCTGTTGCTTCGATTGCCTCCCAATCGCTCACTCAAGGAGAACTACCCCGGTGACTATTGCTCGACAATTGCCGAACTTGTTAGGTGGAGGTTTCCCAACCTGCTCCAACAGCTGACAACAACACCTCTGATGCGTCTGGTCACTACTGTTCACTACTGCTTTCACCGCCTTTGAAGCGGCACATTCAATTGAGGTGGCTGTTCGGTGATGATGATGTGATATCTGTTTAGCATCTCCTTTCACACGTGTTCCACATCAGCAGCTTTTCCACGATGAAGAAGGCAACCACGGTTCGTCTATTGTCTATTCCCACCACTGACAACTGGCGCTGCCTCTAACATCAACTTGACAACCTCCCCTTCTTTGTTTTTCTCTCCTTCTTTCTCTTCCTCTCAGGCATCGTCTGGCAGCTCCTCCTCGGCAAAGTCGCCAAAGACAACAAAGACCACCAAGTCGGCCAAAGGCACCAAGTCAAAGTACATGCAAATTGACGAGGATCAGCTGAGGTATGCCTTCCAGATGATCGACAATAAGAAGGACGGCAAAGTGAATGCGTCGCAAATGAAGCAAATGCTCGTCAGCATTGGCATCGACGTTCCTGAGCGTCTCATTTCCAAGATCATCAGAGAGGCGTCAAAGGATGGTTAGTGGACCAGTTTTTGTGTGAAAAAGTTCTAACACAGTTCCCATTTTTCCCACTTTTTAAAGATAGTGGTCTCATAAAGGAACAAGACTTTCTAGCCTGGTTCTCGCGCTTTAAAACGCCCAAAGATGATGACGTAGAGGCGGACCTGAAAGCGGCTTTCATGGTCTTTGACACCGACGGCAGTGGCTTTATCGAACGTTCCGAGCTGAAGTCGGCGATGAAGGTCATCGGTGAGACGCTGAGTGACCGTGATATTGACGAGCTGCTGCAGACAACAGACGCCGATAATGACGGCAAGATTAACTACGAAGAGTTTATCAAGGCGCTCTTGTAGCGCAGCTTTTTTATTTAAGAATTCAGCGTGATCATAATCATGAATGTGTATCCTTCATAATAGTTTGCCATGGTGAAAGTTTCCGCCATGTCGTGTAACCCATGTACAGAAAGACTCTAAAACACATCGTCCTTAGGATAGGCGTGCAAAATAAAGGGAGTAAAACGGAAGGAAGATGTGGTGTCACCTAAAATGTGTAGAGCAGAAAGAAGAAGGAGAAGAAGAGGAAAGGGATGAACATGTACATATGATCTGTTGCCTATAAAGTCTGCTTGACAAGGATATGAGGTGAGAAGGGGGTGGTGGTGGTGGTGATGATGATGATCGTAAGGTGGTGGTTGAAGTGGTGGTGGTGATAATGTACAGACGAAAAGGGAAGACTGGAGAGAAATGCTCAAGTTTATTTGGGTGACAGTGGTGGATGAGGACATGATTAGTAGGTGATGGTGCTGGTGTCCTCTCTACTTCTGCTGTTGTTGTTGTTGCTGTTGCAGGACTCGTAGTTGAAGCAGTATCGACGCTCCACCTGTGCCCCGCATGGCGCCCGTCCTGGACTGGGCGCCTGTGTGATGTTCCGCCGTCGTTCCTCGTAGCCGTGGCCGTTACAGGGCGCCGAACAGGGCAACCACTCGCCCCACATGCTCATTTCACAATCTAGTGGTGGTGGTGACAAGAAAACAAAACGATTAGAAAATCAAATACAAAAAGAGGTGAAAACGAAAAGTGAAGGGAGACGGAAAAGGGGGAAAGTAAGAAGAGGAAGCGTACAGGAGTTAGTGGTTTGAGAGTTAGTAGAGTTAGCAGGCAGGTGGTGGTGACTATCGCCTGGGAGGCGACTGTCCAGCAAAGTCCTGCTGCTGATGCGTCTGATGTTGCTGCTGTTGGTGGTAGCCGCCGTGGTGGGCTCCTCGGTGGTAGTGCTTGTGCTTGTTCTTATAGCTTTTGTAGCCGTTACTGTTCGAGTAACTGCTGCTGTGCTGCTGATCGCCACCGCCTCCGCCACTGTAGTCCTCTGCAAAAAGTGGCAAATTGGTAGGTAGGAGATCCAGGTGGTTAGGTGGTTAGTTGGTTAGGTGTTAGTAGTGGGACACACAGAAAGAGTTAAAAGCGGTTTGAGAGAATAGTTAAAGGAAGATGAGGTTGGAAGCTGAAGGGATGACAACACACACTTACCACAGGGAGGATTGTCCTTGCACTTCCGTCGCTGGACGAGTTTCTTCGGACAGGGGCGACCGNAAAGCGGTTTGAGAGAATAGTTAAAGGAAGATGAGGTTGGAAGCTGAAGGGATGACAACACACACTTACCACAGGGAGGATTGTCCTTGCACTTCCGTCGCTGGACGAGTTTCTTCGGACAGGGGCGACCGCCGTTCTGTGCGTTTAGTTTGATCTCCCGACGGCGCTCCTTGCGGGCGGTGCCGCAGCTTCGAGAGCAGGGCGACCATTCAGACCATTGGGTGACCTGTTTGGAGAAGTGGTAATTGTTAGTTACTCACACAGAAACATCTTTCCTAGCACACATACCACACAGTCAATCACAGTGAGACCGTCGTTGACTGGCGGTAGCATCGTGTAATTGCCAAAAGGCGATGGCTTTGAAACTCCGTAAGATCCTGCAAGGTAAACAAAGAAGTTAGTAAAAAGGTAAACAAAACACCTACATTTTGTTCATCTTACCTTTAGAAAGATTTTCACACTTTTCCTTGCAGTCTGCCAGGCGCTCAAAGTTGTTGCTGTTTCCCCGACAGCCACTGTAGATGAACTGCACACAGAGGCCCTTGTTCGTGTCAAAGTAGTACCGCGGAAAGTAGCCACGACAGGGGCCCACTTCACGCGGCAGACTGCAGGTGCCTACAAACAAAAACGAGTTAACAAAATTAACTCAAGCAGCACTCAACATGCGCAACCTACTTCTGGCATCATTTCGATCTCCACAGGCCTCTCCGAGGCACTCCTCACTCTCAATCAGCTGCACATTGCAGATGTTCTTCGACTTGTAGGAGTTGATGTAGAGTCGGGTGCGAATGCGGACGCCCTTGCCGCAGCTCTCCGTACAGGGCGACCACTCCGCCCAGTTCGTGACGGCGCACTTGGGCTCAATCAGCTCAGTGTCAGCAGCAGTTGAGCCAAAGTCACCACTGCCACTGCTGCAGTCTCGCCCTCCGGCGCCGATGCACGGCTCCCGGTCGATCAGCTCCACACTAGTGCAGACCTTCCTCGCCAGTCGGTGGAGGAACTTGCGTGAACGCTGCCGAGTGCCCCGTCCACAGCTGACATTGCACGGTTGCCACTCGCCCCAGGGCGACGTCTCACAGCTGATGTTGTTGATGCACTTGCCGCCGCACTCCTCCTTCTCAATCAGCTTCGTACCGCAGCCCGCCTCCTTGGCTCGCTTCTCGTTGATGTAGTTTCGCGTTCGTATGCGGACGCCCTCACCACAGGCCACCGAACAGTGGCTGAACATGGTCCATTCGGTGGTCTTGCAGTCGTCTAGTCGGGAGAAGAAGATTTAAGTAAACTTAAAACAACTACAATCACTACTTACATCTCTCATCTTCATCCGAGTCGATGGAGTCCATTCCATCGCCTGCCCCGCCATTTGCACCCTCAGCACCGCAAGCCTTCTCGTAGATGCGCTGTCTGGCCACCGTCAGTCGGGCAATGGGCTTCATGGGGGTGCCCGAGCTGTCATAGAAGGGCGACTCAGGTTGACTGGGCGTCGTCGAGGTGATTCGCCTGATGCGCTCCTGCGGTATCGTCGGCGTATTCGGCGAGGTGTAGGTCACACCCGAGTCAGTGCCGGCGTCCCACAGGTACAGGTTCATCACCTTCTCGGAGACCCAGCTGCAGTTCTTCAGACAGAGCTCCAGGGCGCTGACGCCGACGATCCAGTCCGGCGAGGGGCCCAGCATTGACAGCAACGACATCAGGTGGTGCTTGTTGTCCACGCGAAAGACGGCAAAGGTCTTGCCATTGAGGTTCGGGTACCAGAGACCGCGTGCTTTGATTATGGTCCTGCAAAAGAAGGGAAAGTTTAAGGACTGGACTACTTTGCTACTCTTTTGAACTTACCTAATTTTATTCGACTCCGTCTTCAACTCCGCCTCCAACTTCTTTGTGATGCCGAATTCAGCCACCTGCCTGACGCCTTCAGTGGCGTATCCGCCGTACTCCCAAATGCGAAAGTCGGCGGAGTGCGAGGCGCCGATGATGTCGCTGAAGTGCGTCTGCCAGATGGTCTGCGGAAACTCCTTCGGGTGGGTGTACTT